GCGTGGCAACAGCCCACTTCCTAGGTAGGCACCTGCCTGGGAGCGCCATAAAGGCCACATTAAGAAGGAGCCCCTGAGTCTGACTCTCGGCCCACAGTTAACCATTCCACACATGGATCCACTGTATATATGGCTCCCTGCTTAGTTTATGCTTCCGAAGCATTTACATGTTTACCGCTATCAGTCTAGTTTTCCTACATTTCTGTTACTTTATGACGGCTACACACGTGTTTCCGATCCTGTTCACCGTTCCTATCGACTGGAGAAGATCGCAAGCGCTTTACCTCCACGTCTTCGGTCGTTGCCGTAGTCTTTGCACATCGAGCATTTGATCGGCATGAAGCCGGGAACTAAGAACTAAGTAGCACGCTTGGACAATCACTAGTGTATCTTCTAACTCTTGCCATCATTTGCACTGTACTAACCCCACGAAAAGTCTGTAGTTTCGCAGCCTAAATGTACCGACAGCCGAATACTTCGTCGTCTCTTTGGCTGTCTCTGAGAAAAGGTAGATGCGATCGTTGGGGCGAGAATTGTATTGGCCTGACGTTTCTGGTTCATACCCGAATCCATCATCAGTATTTATAGGAATTACGTCGCTATGCTACTGTATACCTGTAACAATTAGCGCCCCCTCCCCTGCCTTCGACGAGGGTGACTTCCGATTGCGATAATTGCTTTATGGCTGGCACGCGGGTCGTCACGTGCTGACATTTTATCATCCGTGTTGGATATTAACGTGATAATGACTCAGTTATCTGGTTCATCGGCACTGAAACATGTGTTTGCCTATGCCCTCCTCTTTGTCCAAGGTGAATCTTAGCAGCGAATATGAGTTGGGAATGCCACCGCATTTTTTATCTGCCTGGGGTAAGTCAAGCAGCTCCCAGCTCACACGTTCAACACCTCTTACGAGAAGTTAGGTTTCTTCGAACTTGAATGTTTGGGCGGTTCCTGTCGAGTGAGCTATAAATTGAAAGTTTACGTCATTTCTCTGTGTGGTGCCGCCACGTGTTCGAACTAGCCGTACCTGGATCCGGACTGTCAGGGGAAAATGTTCTCATCCCAGCACTCGCGTCTACTTCCTCGCAAGTACTTCTCCGGACTCAACAACCTTGCCTGCTTGCGTAGTCATTTTAAAGCGCCGCTGCGCCCATAATTAATGCTGTCACGCCTCTAAAGCCTCCGGGCGCCGAAGTTTAAACAGCTACCATGCAGGACTCGTGAATTACTAGGGTTTTAAGCTGTTATTGCAGCTTAAACTC